ACTGTTCACAAGCATGTCGCTGAGTGAGCCGTCGCTGAGGTTGCTCAGCTCACCTACCTCCTGAGGTTCGCCCTTTCCTTTTAGTTGCCTAAGTTCATCGCGTCCGAGTGCAAAATTCTTTATTATTTAATTAGATTAAAAAATAAATAAGAATATAACTTATAATGATTACCTTCATTATAATTTTCAATGCGTCTTCGTTGCCAGGTGTGGGTGCATGTACTGTCGTATGTGGACGTAGAGCGCGTGGTGAATTGCATGAGCTTCGTCTCGCCCGGCTTCTACGCGCTGGCCACCGAGCCTCAGCTCTGGCACCGCCTCGTTCGCCGCTACTTCCCCAGCGTCGTCAACCTCTACGAAGGGGACCCTGATGGCTGGCGCAAGACCTTCATCGCCCAAGCCAGCTCGGTGCCCCATAACCCGCCATTTGACCGTTGTCGCGTGGGGCGGGGTCGACTGCTGACAGCAGGGTTGCCCGCTGTCCGCGTGTGCAGAAGCGGCCTCGGTTCTGCCTGTTGGGCAAAGTGGACTGCGGCAAGTCGACCCTCATTGGTACTCGCCCGTCTCGATCTCTTAGCACATTGTGATTGTGAGTGATTGGTGTGTGTGTGTGTGTGTGCGTGCGTGCGTGTGTGTGTGGTGTGTGTTGTCGAAAAATGCAGGGCGCATACTCGTGGGCCTGGGGGCTGCCACAGAGCAAGAGGTCCAGCGGAACAGTGATGAAGCCAATTTGGTGGGTGTGAGGACGTACAAGCTCAAGTACGCCTGGATTTCCGACCGTCTCAAGTTGGAACGAGAGCGCGGAATCAGTACGTACATACACTTGGTCGGCGGCCAGTTTCCATGAACCATTTCTCACATTGACGCTCTACTCGGCACGCATGGGTGTCGTATGTTATGTGTCGTGTCGTGTTGGTGCGTGTATCGTGCAGCAATCGACTGGCACACAAGAGAATGCACTTTGAGTAGTGATCGTGAGATTGAAATCGTGGATCTGCCCGGTCACTGCGACTTCATCAAGAACACTTCCATCGTTCGTGCATGCGCCTGATCTCGATTGAGCCCAAGGAACCGAACGGTAGCTCACTCGCATGTGTGCAGGGCGCATCGATGGCCGACGTGGCCATACTTGTGGCGCCAGTTCACCAGTACCACATCAACGCGGGACTAACAAACGGTACGTACCATACAGGCCAAATGCATTGCCTCCTGCTGGATTCACGTGACACTCGACTAGTGGTACCTCCGGAGCACCTGGTTCTGGCGAAGAGCGCCAACGTGTCCAAGGTGATTGTTGCGGTCAACAGGATGGATGACCCCGCGGTCTTCCACATGAGCCACTCTCACTTCGAAGTACTTCGCTCCCTGCGCCACCTCCGCTTTCGTTGTGTCTTTTGTTTCCTTTCTGGATTCGGCCAGGCCAACTGACTCTCGCCCTGGCAGATAATCAAGGACTGTGTGATGCAAATGGCGGCAGGCGCGGGGTTCGAACCGGAGGGTACACCGCCTGCTGGCTGTTTGAATCTCTCCTGTTGTTGACCACACACCACACCACACGCCACACACACGCCACCACACACACGCGCGACGCGCCCAAGCAGACTTGGTAGTGCTGCCCATCTCGGCGTGGTCCGGCGAAAACGTGGTCTACCCGCCTTCCTCGCTTCCCTGGTGCGACTCCGCCCGCGCGACTCGGCTTTGAGTATGTTGTGACTAACGGGCGGGGGCTGCAGGTACGAGGGGCCGATGCTGTTCGACGTCATGGAGCAGGTGGCGAGCAGAGTGGTTGTGAAGCGATCGTTGTTCGGTCAAACCTCTGGTACGCTCCCGTCTTCCCCTCTGTGTGTGTGTGCACACGCTTGTCTGATCGACCTTTGCGCTGTGGTGGCGCCACTGGCAAACACCGTGCAGGGCGATGTGTTTGTGGAGCCCTACGCGCGCAAAGCTGCCCTGGGCACGGTGCTCGTGTCGGACATGGGCCCTATCACTGCCTATGGGCGCATCGAATCCGTCTTTCGCCATGGCCAGGGCACAACATCGTAATAGCTTCAATGACAATAACGTCTACACCGACACGACACGACACTCACGACACACACGACACACGACTGGCGGGCCAGCGCGACAGTATTACATGGTATTTCGAAGTAATAAAAAGGAAGACAAGAAGCCAGCGAGTGGCCAAGCTCAAGGATGGCAAGCAGTGGTACACCAGATGGAGAAGGGTGGCAGCCGCGTTCGGGTGGGCCACAGCAGCATGGTGAGCAGAATATGCACACT